CCATTTTGACAACATGATTAGGAACAAATCTCTATCCCATCTCTCTTCCAAATTAAATATTGTAAGAATAATTTCATCATCTTCCAGGCTCTTCATAGGGTTGCCATTAGGAACTCTTCAGTTTTAAAGCAGAGAGATGTTAAATAAATACAGATGCAAATATTTAGCCACTTAATTTGGGCGTGGGTATTTGAGGAACACAGAGTTTAGCACTTTCTAGATCACGAGATTTTTCATCTGAGTTTAGACTTTCCTTCACAACCTGCATAGATCAATCTGCCAAATAATCCCATTAGTTTATAGATAATACGATTATATTTTATCTCACAAGGTTATTTGTGCACATTAGACAATGTGTCTGTAATCTGGTATGGAAACAAGCAAAGAAAGGCCAAAAGCTATTCCCAAATTCTAAAGAGAAATGGTTTAATACTTGCCTCTTGAAAGTATTTATATTAATGATATTTAATTTTAATTAAGCTCAAATTAAAATTAAAAAACTAAGATGTACATGTACCTCTTAGATGACAACAGCAATTGGGACCAGAATTGCCATTGTTAAGGGATGCTATTATAAAGCCATAACTGTGTCACTTAACCAGAGCAGTTCTGGCAGTCCTGGTTACCATCATTAAGCGAGGACCTTTCAGTTGCTTAAGTATGGATCTCACATGATGGCAACTTTTGATTTCCAACTGGCTTCTTCATTGACTTCACTTGTAGGAAGCTGGCAGGGAACATCAGAGATTGAGATCACATGGGACACTGTGAAAGCTGCAATTATGAGGACTCCTTGTGAGTACCATTTGTTCAGCATCATTGTAACTTTGAACAGTTGCTGAATGAATGATTGTAGTCCAGGGATTACCTGTAATTTTTTGTCCAATTCACAATAATTAATTTATGGATTATAGCCTCCAAGGCCACTCTAAGGTTCTCAGCCAGGAAAAAAGAGGTATGCCCTATTTTGTGAATTTTAGTTGGGAAATCAAGAAATCAATGGCATGAGATATCATATCCAGCTTATAACAGAGACAAAAAGGCAAAGAAACAGGTGGCCAAGGACAGCCAGCTAGTAGCATGCTGTGGCATTTCAATCAGTGGTGGGTTGCCCCCGGTTCGGACCGGTTCACAAGAACCGGTAGTAAAACTGGTGGGAGGTTCCGCCCCCTGACCTGGACATCATCATAGGTGATCTGCACATGTGCAGAAGAGCATGCATGCTGGCATGATGCGAACCGGTAGTAAAGGTAAGTAGAACTCACCCCTGATTTCAATGCATATTGGCTACACCCTGCATATTTTACAACTGTTCTGAGGGATAATTAAAAGCAGTGAGTTGCCGTAGTATTTAGTTGGCTGCTGCCCAACAGAATGTGAATGGATTATGTACTGTTCAGGATGTCAACTCTTCAGAGGAGGAAAATCGAGGATCGGTTGGCATTCTCTAGAAGGCATAGGGAATGGACTTGAAGGACAAGAGAAAGAGCTACTATAAGACACTGATCAGATAAGAGGAACTTGAGCCCAGTCCAAGAAAATAATGGGAGAAAACATTTCAGACAAGCTCCTCATCACATGAAGAAAAGTGAGAAAAGCACATTCAGACTTGCAAGACTCTATTATTAAAGCTCTTACAATAAAAGTCATCCTGACCCATATATCATTGGTTTCTTTGTCTGCTCTACTTTATAGGGTTGACACCCCATATATCAAAGGTCATGCCCCAGGTCATTTATAGCATAGCATAAAATAGGACAAAAGATCTGGAAAGCTCTAGTCATTTAGAAAGGTTTTCCCTTGGGGATCTATGTTGAGAAATTAGAGTTGCTGGCACCTTTCATTTTGATCATTTAATGTTGTAATCGTGGAATGAATCTAGTGCAATAAAAGTACTACAGGTGTTGTTAACAGGATAATGGTTTCCTTTCCACTACACACAAAAACACACCTTTTTCGCTGGCATAATTATCTGAGAGTCAATCTTCCCACAGGACAATTCTGTTTGCTTATGTGTGGGGCAGGGAAGACCTGTAAGAAAAGAAGAGAATTGTCTTTTATTTCTTTGAAAAATAAAACAGTGTCAATAATGAGTGCCTTTTCAGAGAGGAAAACATTTTTAAAGAGAGAATGATTGAGTCCTAAATATATGAGAGGAAAAAAGTACTAGGATAGCTTGGTACACTGGGCCAAAAAAGTCAGGATGGTAGCTATAACCATGTGGTTTTTCTGTTTCTTGCACATAAAATGCAAACATGATGTGGAGCTTCAATCATACCAGTCTGCATCTGAATTATCTGACAAACACACACAGAGAACTATAAATACTCCTTCTCCTAACAAAAGGCTTGTTTTCTGTCAATTTAGCAATGACCGTGGTGATGATACAGTAGGTATTGACAGTTTCCCTGTTCTGCTGGCCCTTTGGGCTTTCTTAGGAACAGATTAGGTTGGTGGCGACTTCCTCCCTTTCGTGGCACAGGAATGGCACAGCACGAGTGACACAGCACGTGTGACACAGCCAGAAAGGAGGCTGAAGCTTTAAGCAGATAGGGTGAGCAATAAAAGCCAGTTGATGAAGGAGTAATAAGGCAGGAAGTGGAGAATGAGAAGGTGATAGAATTAGAAAGATAAGGCATGCAGTTGAGCTAGCAATGGACAAAACAATAGATTACTGTTTCTCAACTTCAACAACTTTAAGATATATAGACTTCACTTCCCAGAATTTTTCAGCCAGCAAGTTGGCTAGGGAATTCTGGTAGTTTAAAGTGAGGATGGTCATAAGTGTGAGGACCAGTCAAAAGTGCGAGGACCTGTCAGAAATGACTTTTTTCAGCCCTCTGGTTAGTCCTTTTGTGCATATGGACTACTCAGAGGGCTGAAAAAGTTATTTTTGACTGGTCCTCGCACTTTTGACCAGTCCTCAAACTTACGACTGTCCTCACATTTTACATTTTTGCCCTATCTTGTCATCATGGTGAAGAGAAGCAGTTGTGAAATGAGTGACATGGTTGTTAAGAATGCTGCACGGGTGTAAATGTGAGGATGGTCATAAGTGTGAGGACCAGTCAAAAGTGCGAGGACCTGTCAGAAATGACTTTTTTCAGCCCTCTGGTTAGTCCTTTTGTGCAGTTTTGACCAATTTTCAAACTTACGACTGTCCTCACATTTTACGTTTTTTGCCCTATCTTATCACCATGGTGAAGAGAAGCAGTTGTGAAATGAGTGACATGGTTGTTAAGAATACTGCATGGGCATAAATGTGAGGATGGTCATAAGTGTGAAGACCAGTCAAAAGTGTGAGGACCTGTCAGAAATGACTTTTCAGCCCTCTGAGTAGTCCCTATACACATAGCCATGGCCACCCGGTCACATGACCAGCTAGCCACGCCCACCCAGTCATATGGCCTCCAAGCCACGCCCACACAATAAGTCACGCCCACAATGGTGTCCTTCTTACCAATGTTAAAATCTGTTCACCTTACCCTATACACATAGCCATGGCCACCCGGTCACATGACCAGCTAGCCACGCCCACAAAATAAGCCACGCCCACAATGTCCCTCTTTACCAATGTTAAAATCTGGTCACCTTAGTCATGCCTGAAGTCTGACTGGGGCTGGGGAGGAAATCTCTCCCGGGGAGCCTGTCCAGGCTGGCAACCTCAAGAAGAAGAGCCCCTTGCATTGCAGCTATATTGGAAGAAGGAAGATTTCCCTACTATTGAAGAATGGACATTAAAAGTAGCGAATTTGGCAGAAATGGCGAAGATTTCGGCATATTTGAAAGATCACTCACAAGAAAGATATATATCGGAATGGAGAAGATGGATTGATTATATTCAAAACAAATATCGGACTAAAAGTATCAAATAGCTTATGAATGAATAGAAAAATTAAGAGTATTGATGCTTAGTTAGTAAAAGGGGAGTTAAATTGTGAAGGGGGGGATAGGAATCCTTAGTTTATTAGCTTAGTTTAGCATATGATTGTCAATTGTATACCCTGCATTTTGTTCTGGGAAGTTCGGGGGGGGCGGTGGGGGGGATAAGGAAGGGAGGGAGGGATGGGGAAATACTTGTAAAATTTTTTTTCCTCTTTCTGTAAAACTGTTTAATAAAAAAAAATCAAACATACAATAAATTTGGAAAAATGGGAAAAGTTTTGGCAAGTAAATATAAAATTAACAAGAGCAGTGGCGTACAAGGAAAACCAACTGAAAATGTTTTATAGGTGGCACATAGGTCTCCAACCAGACTGGCAAAAATACAGCCCAAAAATAGCCCGATCTGCTGGAAGTGTAAGAAGACAAAGGGACCTTCTATCATTTATGATGGACATGCCAGGCAGCAAAGAAATTTTGGTCTAACATCAAAAAATGGTTGGAACAAATAACAGAAACACAGATAGATAAAGAACCAGAAAAGTTTTCCCTTGGAATTTTTAATAAATCATACCCTAAAGATATTAAAAATCTCACAATTCACATACTAACAGCTGCAAGAATAATATATGCAAAAAACTGGAAACAAGAAAAAACGCCAAACGAAACAGATTTAATAGAAAAAATTCTAAATGCGCTGAAATGGACAGGTTAACCAAAGAAATACAAGAAAGAGAAGAATCAGACTACTACAAAATATGGACTAAATGGTATAATTGGTTAAAAATTAGAAATAAACAAAAAATCTAGAGGGGAAATATTACCGGTATAGAAAACGTCATTAGACTAAGGAGAGGGGAAGAAATATATAACAAGCAGAATGTCACTTGGAAACAATGCTTAAGAAGGAAACATAATTTCTTTTTGTTTATATGTTGTATAAATGTTTGTTGTGTTTATGTCATGTTATTTTTTTTAATATTTATACTCTAATAAAAATTTAATTTAAAAAAAAAAAGATTGGGCAATCATTTATCTGAGATGGCCAAGTCCCTTGAGTAGGGACTTGGACTAAAAGTCGCTTCCTCCCTAGGAGGCCATGATTCCCTCTGTGCTTTGTGCCACAATGATGGGGCTTCTCTGTTGTTCGTGAACAGACAACTTCCCACAGGAAACCCAGAGGCCGAAGGCTACCGAGGGAGTCAGCCACCGGCCACTCCTAGATCCAGCTGAGCTGCCATCCTTGGGTAGGTATAAAAAATGGCTATTGTTTACCTGGTTGCCGAGGGAACGAGTTGCCCTGAAAAACCAGTAGCCACTGCACAGCTGCTCATTCTCCCTTCGTGCAGTGATAGGACGAGCACCTAGTTGGTCATGGCTGTGAGAAGGCTTTTCAGGGTAAGTGTGGACATCTCAGCTGCCAAGAAACTGGCAGCGGGGGAGCAAATCAACTCTTCTGACTGACATGTGTCTATTTCTCTTCTCTTAACAGAACATCTGGAAAAGGTGTTCGCACCTTTTCTGTTGCCTGAAGAGCAACATTGAAGACCTTCCTGTGCCTCCTGACAGGTACCACCCTCTTCTCCTTAAACCCTGGCTATGGTGGGGCAACCTTGATGGCCTGCGGAGTCTGTAAGAGGCTCTCCCCAAAATGGCTTCCTGTCTAGAAGGGGCTTCAGGGGCCAAAAGATGGGCAGGCTGACTGGCTAGGTTGAGAAAGGAGACGGTCAGCTAGATGAATGTTCTTTGACATGGCACCTTCTTCTTCTTTTGGTCAGCACCGAAGAGGCACAGGAACCGGATGACCAGCAGGGAGAATGGGAGACACATCATGTGTCTGATGGAGACGTCTCTTCCTTGCCTGGGGTAAGGATGCTTCTGCAACATGGGCAGTGGGGGTTCATACTTCAAAACTGGGTGGGGGAAGGGAAGAACTTGGGGGGAACCTGGCCAGCCTAGGAAACTGAAGAAGATCCCCTTGTTTCATACCTTCAATGAAACCATTGTTACTTGCAGGTTGTGATGGGTGGTCCTGCTACCGCCCGGAGTCCCAGGAAGGAAGATGTCCGGCCAGCTCTCATTTCCAGGAGGTTAGTGTTCTCAGCTGAGGGATTCTGGGGAGAAGGGCTAGAAGAAAGGTTTGCAGAGGGGAGGCATCTCTACCCTCTGCCTGCACTTTTACTAAAAGAAGAAGGACTCAAGCCCTTCGTTCTCTCCCCAGAAATGAGAGGATGCCGAAGTGGACACCGCGGCTGACTACAATTTGGGAGACCTGCACTGAGTCGGTAAGGCCAGAGTACCTCCTCCCTATGGTAATGGCAGATGCTCTGTCTCTGTGCATCTGTTAACATGCCAATAGACGTAATGTTTGCATTCTTATTTCAGGATCCATCGGACGTGGAGGAGGGAGGTGCAGGAGGAGACAGTGCCTGTCTTTCAGGGTAGGTAACACTTTGGAGGGTGAACCTTTAGCAGAAGGGAGGCATCTTTGCCTCTGCTTCTGCTAAAGGAAGAAGGACTCAGGGCAATTTCACCGGCAGGCCAAGCCCCTTGGCAGGCCACCTGCAAGGGTTCTTACAGCTCCCACATGACCACTCTTGCAAAAGGGCCATGGCTACTTTTGATCTTTGGCCCCTTTGTTTTCTCCCCACAGAGAGGAAAGGCAAGAGCACTGGAGGCCGCGGCTGTCCACCAGTTTGGAGACCTGCACTGAGTTGGTAAGGCCTGGACACATCCTGCCCACGTGAAAAGAAGAAGCCCTGTCTCTGTGGATTTCTTGATATCCCAACAGACGGCATCTTTGGCTTTTTATTTCAGGAACCACAAGACCAACCAGTGCAGGGGGAGATCTCTCCTGACCTGGAGAAAACATCTTCAGAGGTAAGAAAATTTTGGGAAGTGGGAGAAATTGGGCTATACATCCTTCTAAGCTTAAGACTTGGAAAGGCTCTCTTGCTGTTGGCCCATAGGGCCATAGGAATCTTATTGGGACACAGAAAGTTGAGGATTTAGCAACCTTAGTATCATTTGCAGGATTCGCTGACAGTCCTGGCGGGCTCCAGGACCAGCAGCCTCTGGGATTTGGACCTCGACTCCCTTGCTGACCTTCTGGAGGAGGAATCTGAGGATAGCCGGGACCAGGATGCGGAGGCTTCTTCCAGTCCATGGGTAAGAAAGACAAAGGCTTTTCGGTTGGGGTGGTCTGGTGGGATCGGTTCCTTTGCCACAAAGTAGCAGGGACTGGTGTCCTAAATGGGAAATGTAATCCCCATTCAATAGGCCCTCTTTTAGGAATCCTGATTTTTTTTTCTCTGATGGCTAAAGAGGAATGACTGTCGTTCACAGGATTCTCCAGAGGAGGGGGAAGACACCCTGGAGGATCTCAGCAGCCTGGAAGAGGACATCCTGGACTCCCTGGACCGCCTTCTTCAATGAGAAGAGGTATCTATTTTACCTTCCTCACGGGTCAATGCCTTGCCTGGCGAAGCTCAATGAAGCAATGAGCTATGCTGTGCCGGGCCATTTAGGTCAGACAGGTCATAGTCGAGGGTGCTGACACAACATGGTCCACTGGAGAAGGAAATGGCAACCCTCTCCAGTATCCTTAGTAAGAAAACCCCAGGAAAAGTATCAAAGGGCTACCATGCTAGAAGATGAGCCCCTCAGATCGGAAGAGCGGAGGGCAATTACAAGTAGCTCCAAAAGAGCAAAGTGGTCCTAATAATAGCCTTTGATTCCTCCCCCAGATGCTTCCTCAGATTCGTCTCCAGAGGTCAGCTTGGAGGAGGAGGAACCAGCCCCAGCCACCTCAGGAGGTGAGTTGGTCAATGGCTCTGAGTAGCCTGCTGAGAATGATTTGGCTGAAACAACAGCTGCAGCAGGGCAGCCCTGAGATTTCAGGTGGGGAAAGCACCCAGCTGGTTAGTGAGGAGGAGGAGGAACTGTCTTCTGCACCTGAACCAGGAACACTTAGGGCAGAGAAAAGGCAGGAGCAGCAAAGGTCAGCCCGATTACTTGCGAGGCGCCAGTCTCGCCATTCTTGATGGGATGCACCCGAAGCTGGCTACTTAGCGCAGCAGACAGACAGCGGTGATGCTGGGAACGTGTTCATGAGCAGGGGGTTGGACAAGAAGACTTTCAAGGTCCCTTCCAACTCTGTTATTCTGTCTGCCTCTAGGACGGCTTCAGCAACGGAGGGTATTGTTGTGGTCTGCCACCAACCTGCGGAGCTGGCAGCCGAGTCGGACAGTGAGGAGGCGGTGGAAGAACACGGGCCAGTCCTGGAGGCTGGGGAAGGCCCGGATGAGGGCTCTGCGTCGGAGGCAGAGATGGGGCGAGGACCATCTGGGAGTGATGTGCAGACTCTGGCCGGGTGCTTCTGTCTGGGCCTATTACGGCCACCACTCAACCCTTGCACATGACCATCGGGTCTCATGAGGACCCTATTCAGTTTTATTTTACCTCCGGCCTGCATTTTCTCGTGGTTTTGGGCTTGGCTTGGCTCAGGAAACCAGACCCGCAGATCTATTGTTCCCAGAACTTCATCTCTTTTCCGAGCCTGCAATGTGTGGATCACACCCACCACGACTGCCCCATTAATTTGATTCTGGATGCTCCACTCCCATTGGGGCGTTTGTATTCGATGTCGGACCCTGAGTTGGTTGTGTTACGGGACTTTGTGGACAAAAATCTTGCTCAGGATTTTATCTGGCCCTCATCGCCATTGTCTGCCCCGGTCCTGTTCGTGAAAAAGAATACTGGAGACTTGTGGCTTTGTTGTAACTCCCGCAAGCTAAACGCCATCATAGCGCGCACCCAGTATCCTCTGCCCCTTATTCCTGAACTCTTGGAACTACTTCTGGAGGCTACTGTCTTCACTAAATAGGACTTGCGAGGAACTTATAATCTTCTTCGGATCCGTCCCAAGGATGAATGGAAGACGGCGTTTGGCACTCCTTAAGGACATTTTGAGTATACTGTACGGTCATGCCGTTTGGGCTGACCAATGCTCCTGCCATCTTCCAACATTTCATGAATGACATTTTTAGGGACCTCTTGGACAAGTTTGTCGTAATTTATTTAGACAACATTCTCATCTATTCTCCTTCCCAGAAGACCCACCAACAGCACCTCTGCCTGCTCCTGCAACATCTTCGGGAGCATCATCTGTATGCTAAACTGGAGAAATGCCAGTTTTTCCAGTCCACCATTGAGCTCCTGGGGCATTGAATCTCTCCCGAGGGCATTGCCATGGAGCCGAGCAAGGTGGAGTCTTTGCGTAGTTGGCAACCTCCTTGGTGACTGAAGGACCACTGTCTAGTGCCTCCTTGGGTTCGCCAACTACTATCGGACCTTTATCCCAAGCTTTGCTGCCAGGATCATGCCTCTCACTCGGCTTCTGCAGAAAAAGTCCAATTTCGGTTGGGTACCCCCGAGCAACAGGCACTCCAGGCCTTGAAACAGGCCTTCATGAAGGAGCCTATCTTGAAGCATCTTGACCCCCACCATTTGTTTGTGGTAGAAGCAGATGCATCGGGTGTTGCTGTTGCTGCGGTCTTGCTACAGGCTCGCGCATCTGGCGGTACCCTCTTCCCTTGTGCAAAGTTACTACAGACCACCCAGAAACTGAACCAATGGTAGATTCAGTGGTCCCTCTTCTTTGCAAGGTTCAATTTCAGCATTACGTACATCCTTAGTGGTCGCAACCAAAGGGTGGATGCGCTCTCGCGGAAACCGGAGTATTCCCACATCGAAGACCCGCTTCTGCTCCAGACAGTGTTGCCTGTAGAGTCTTTCTCCGTGGTTTAGGAACCAGTTGATTTACGGGCTCAGATACAGGAAGCTCAGCGGCATGATGCTTACATGGAGCAACGGAAGAAAGAGGTAGGGCCCGCCTCTCCATGGACGTTTCATGAGGAACTCTTGCGGTACCGAGACAGGCTCTAGCTGCTGGTGGGGCCGCTCTGGGGACTTATCTTGCCGCAGTGCCATGATAATCCTGCAGCGGGGCACTTTGGCCTCTTTAAGACACTGAATCTAGTTTCTTGCACTTTTGGTGGCCCCGATTGAGACACAATGTCCAGGCTTATGTCACGTCTTGTGTTCACTGCCGACAGGCCAGGTCGGCAATGGGAGCCGCTTCAGGCCTGTTCCAGCCATTGCCACAGTGCCACATGACAGAAATGAACCACCCGAGTATGAGGTCGCCAGCATTCGGGACTCCTGGTGGGTAAAAGGACGGTTCAAGTATCTAATTGAGTGGAAGGGATATGGACTGGAGGACTTTACTTGAGAGAATGCGACGTCTGTGCATGCACCTATCTTGGTGAAAGCAGTCCATGACCTCTTCCAGTCACAGCTGCATCTGGATCGTCAGACCTGGGGGAATGGCCCTGCGGTGAGCGATAGTGTTGTGGTCCGCCAGCAGCCTGCGGAACTGGCAGCGGAGTTGGACAGTGAGGAGGCTGAGGAAAAACATGGGCCTGTCCTGGAGGCTGGGGAAGGCCCAGATGAGGGCTCTGCGTCAGAGGCAGAGCTGGGGCCATGGCCATCTGGGAGTGATGTGCGGACTCCGGAGCCTCCAGAGCAGTGGTTCTCAACTTTCCTAATGCCGCGACCCTTTCATACAGTTCCTCATGTTATGGTGACCCCCAACCAGGGGTGGGTTCTAAAATTTTTTACTACCGGTTCTGTGGGTGTGGCTTATTTTGTGGGCATGGCTTGGAGGTCATGTAACTGGGTGGGCGTGGCTAGCTGGTCATGTGACCGGGTGGCCATTGCTATATGTGTATAGGGACTACTCAGAGGGCTGAAAAAAGTCATTTCTGACAGGTCCTTGCACTTTTGACTGGTCCTCACACTTATGACCATCCTCACATTTATGCCCATGCAGCATTCTTAACAACCATGTCACTCATTTCACAACTGCTTCTCTTCACCATGGTGACAAAAAGTGTAAAATATGAGGATAGTCGTAAATTCGAGGACTGGTCAAAAGTGCGAGGACCAGTCAAAAATAACTTTTTCAGACCTCTGAGTAGTCCATGTGCACAAAAGGACTACCCAGAGGGCTGAAAAAAGTGATTTCTGACAGGTCCTCGCACTTTTGACCGGACTTCGCACTTATGACTGGTCATCATTTATGCCCATTGTAGCATTCTTAACAACCATGTCACTCATTTCACAACTGCTTCTCTTCAACCTGGTGACAAGATAGGGCAAAAGCATAAAATGTGAGGACAGTCGTAAGTTCGAAAACTGGTCAAAAGTGTGAGGACCAGTTAAAAATAACTTTTTCAGCCCTCTGAGTAGTCCATGTGCACAAAAGGACTACCCAGAGGGCTGAAAAAAGTGATTTCTGACAGGTCCTCGCACTTTTGACCGGACTTCGCACTTATGACTGGTCATCATTTATGCCCATTGTAGCATTCTTAACAACCATGTCACTCATTTCACAACTGCTTCTCCTCACCATGATGACAAGATAGGGCAAAAATGTAAAATGTGAGGACAGGCGTATTTCGAGGACTGGTCAAAAGTGCGAGGACCAGTCAAAAATAACTTTTTCAGCCCTCTGAATAGTCCATATGCATAAAAGGATACAGGAATAGAGAGGAATGAAGGAAGGGAAGGGAAATTAGAGTAGGAGTGAGGGTAAGAGAGGGAGGAAGAGAGGAGGGGAAGGAGAAAGGAAGAGGAAGTAGGGAGGAGAAGAAGGGGGGAAGAGAAAGTAAGAAGGAAAGAAAAGAGAGAGGTGGTAGGTTTGAGGAGAAAGATTGCTGTACAATAAAAAAGATGAAAGGGAAGAAAACCAACCCCAAACAAATATAAAGATATTAAGATAAAGAATGAATTGTTAAACTTTAAAGAATAAAAGATCAAATCAATTAATTATATTTACCAATAATAATAAACCCAATAATTTCCCCCGTATATTCCTCCAAACCACAACTTAACCATTTCTGCTTTCAACACAATATGCAATTAATAGTATCTCAATTATTACAATTCCCTAGTTATATAGAGCTTTTTTTCTTTTGTGTTTTAAAATCTTGAACCTCCTCTTTTGCCCTAAATTTCCCATTGTTTGCAGTTTTGCACCTACCTTTTTTGGTGAGGAAAAAGAAAAAGAAATCTCTCTCTGCCTCATTTTGTCACGTTGCAGCAAAGACCCTGCTTTAATTTCAGTTTTGCTTTTTCAGCATAGCTAGGGGAAAAATAATATGCTCCAGCAATTTACCTCTTTGCAGCTAGCTAGCAACAGAGCCCTCCGCAAAACAGCTGAGAGCAAATCAGCTGAGAGTCGGGAGGCTGATCAAACCAACTGATGGTAATTAACCTATGCTGAAGCTGAAAGGGGCTGTTTTTTCTATTTTTGCAGGCACCGGTCTACTCATTTGTTTTCTTTTAACACTGATCAGCTGTAGGGTGGCCCTTTGAAGCCCCGCAGCAAGAATTTAAACAGTTTTTTTCCCTCTAGCCATTAGCTGGGACTCAGGAGGCAGCAATAGATTGGGAGTGGGCGGGGTAAGCGACCGGCAACTGGCGATCCAACAGAGGCAGAGGGTGAGGGTGAGTGAAGGCGTGGGGGGACCGAGAGAGGGCTTTGGTGACCCCTGTGAAATGGCCGTTCGACCCCCATTGTAGCATTCTTAACAACCATGTCACTCATTTCACAACTGCTTCTTTCACCATGGTGACAAGATAGGGCAAAAACATAAAATGTGAGACAGTCGTAAGTTCGAAAACTGGTCAAAAGTGCGAGGACCAGTCAAAAATAACTTTTTCAGCCCTCTGAGTAGTCCATGTGCACAAAAGGACTACCCAGAGGGCTGAAAAAAGTGATTTCTGACAGGTCCTCGCACTTTTGACCGGACTTCGCACTTATGACTGGTCATCATTTATGCCCATTGTAGCATTCTTAACAACCATGTCACTCATTTCACAACTGCTTCTCTTCAACTGGTGACAAGATAGGGCAAAAGCATAAAATGTGAGGACAGTCGTAAGTTCGAAAACTGGTCAAAAGTGTGAGGACCAGTTAAAAATAACTTTTTCAGCCCTCTGAGTAGTCCATGTGCACAAAGGACTACCCAGAGGGCTGAAAAAAGTGATTTCTGACAGGTCCTCGCACTTTTGACCGGACTTCGCACTTATGACTGGTCATCATTTATGCCCATTGTAGCATTCTTAACAACCATGTCACTCATTTCACAACTGCTTCTCCTCACCATGATGACAAGATAGGGCAAAAATGTAAAATGTGAGGACAGGCGTATTTCGAGGACTGGTCAAAAGTGCGAGGACCAGTCAAAAATAACTTTTTCAGCCCTCTGAATAGTCCATATGCATAAAAGGATACAGGAATAGAGAGGAATGAAGGAAGGGAAGGGAAATTAGAGTAGGAGTGAGGGTAAGAGAGGGAGGAAGAGAGGAGGGAAGGAGAAAGGAAGAGGAAGTAGGGAGGAGAAGAAGGGGGGAAGAGAAAGTAAGAAGGAAAGAAAAGAGAGAGGTGGTAGGTTTGAGGAGAAAGATTGCTGTACAATAAAAAAGATGAAAGGGAAGAAAACCAACCCCAAACAAATATAAAGATATTAAGATAAAGAATGAATTGTTAAACTTTAAAGAATAAAAGATCAAATCAATTAATTATATTTACCAATAATAATAAACCCAATAATTTCCCCCGTATATTCCTCCAAACCACAACTTAACCATTTCTGCTTTCAACACAATATGCAATTAATAGTATCTCAATTATTACAATTCCCTAGTTATATAGAGCTTTTTTTCTTTTGTGTTTTAAAATCTTGAACCTCCTCTTTTGCCCTAAATTTCCCATTGTTTGCAGTTTTGCACCTACCTTTTTTGGTGAGGAAAAAGAAAAAGAAATCTCTCTCTGCCTCATTTTGTCACGTTGCAGCAAAGACCCTGCTTTAATTTCAGTTTTGCTTTTTCAGCATAGCTAGGGGAAAAATAATATGCTCCAGCAATTTACCTCTTTGCAGCTAGCTAGCAACAGAGCCCTCCGCAAAACAGCTGAGAGCAAATCAGCTGAGAGTCGGGAGGCTGATCAAACCAACTGATGGTAATTAACCTATGCTGAAGCTGAAAGGGGCTGTTTTTTCTATTTTTGCAGGCACCGGTCTACTCATTTGTTTTCTTTTAACACTGATCAGCTGTAGGGTGGCCCTTTGAAGCCCCGCAGCAAGAATTTAAACAGTTTTTTTCCCTCTAGCCATTAGCTGGGACTCAGGAGGCAGCAATAGATTGGGAGTGGGCGGGGTAAGCGACCGGCAACTGGCGATCCAACAGAGGCAGAGGGTGAGGGTGAGTGAAGGCGTGGGGGGACCGAGAGAGGGCTTTGGTGACCCCTGTGAAATGGCCGTTCGACCCCAAAGTAGTCACGAACCCCAGGTTGAGAACCGCTGCTCCAGAGGCAGAGAGGCACAGGAACAAGAAAAGCATTCCTAGTGCATGCATGAGAAGAGCTGGAAGAAGGCACGAGCAGCTAAAGCAAAAAGGATGACTCGGGAGCAGGGCCAAGAGATGATTGGCCTCTCCCATAAGGCTTAAAAGACCAGCAACGGCTCTTAGGCTCTTTGTCAAAAAACAACGTTGATAGATTTGTTTCTTGTCTTGCTGCATATATTTCTTGTTGCCATCTTCTGCTTCTGAACTTTTGCCAAGAAAAGCCTTTGGCAGGTTGCCTAATAAGACCAAGGTTGGTGATAAGGCTGAAGAATTGTGTTATGAAGAATTGGTCTTAAATTAGTTTGGACTACCCTGAGAATGAGTTAATTCTCATCTGTTCTAATAAAGTCTGTTTGTTTCAAACAGTTTGGGTCTGATAATACTTACTTGGGCCTGGGTCACAACAGGTATGGAGATGGAGGGCAGAATCACCCCCACCTAAAAAGCCCTGCATGGAGCTGCTTTCCCCTGGAATGGATGTCTTTTTGTTGTTTTTTCTAGCTACGTTTGTTTTTCACTGCTGTATGAGAGACAGTGTAATAGTACTGTTACCATATGCAATTGGACATGCTATAGGACCGTGATGGCGAACCTATGGCACGCGTGCCACAGGTGGCACATGGAACCATATCTTGGGCATGCCAGCGTGCCCTAGTTTAGCTCCAGCGCGCATGCGCGCACTGGCCAGCTGATTTTCAGGCCTTGGGGAAGGCCATTTTCTACCTCCCCAGGTTCCTAGAAAGGCTCTGGAGCGTGGGGAGGTTGAAAAACATCATTTTCTGTTCCAACGGAAGTTGAGAAATGGGACCTCCGGGAGGGTGGGGAAGGCCGTTTTCGCCCTCCCCAGGCTCCTAGAAACCTCTGCAGCCCTGGGAGGGCCCACCATGCCAAAAGAGGGTGGAATACAGGGGGGGTCGTGCACACATGCGTGCGGGTGGGGCGCATTGAAATGTGACTGATGGCACACACATGCGCAACTCCTCCACACTCCCCCCACTTTTGGGACATAATGGCAAAAAGGTTCGCCATCACTGCTATAGGGTATATTACTTGTGGAGCGGGCTGGACTAGAAGACCTCCAAGATCTCTTTCAGCTCTATTCTGGTTGATTGATGGATTGATTGAAGTAGCCCAGTTGTTATGAGAAATTGGCTTCTCCATTACTTTTGCTTGCCAGAAAGATGCAAAAGCTGATCACATGACCCTGGGAGATTGCAACCCTCATAAAGATGAGTCAGTTACCCAGAGGAACAGAAAGAAACGTTGAATAGACCAATCTCCGAAACCAAATTTGGAACGGCAATGAAAAAAAAAAAAAATAATAAATCCCCAGGCCCCGATGGATTACCGATAGAACTATATTAAAATAGGATAGAACAGACTGGAGAACTTATGTTAGAAATATTTAATGAAGTATTGCAAGGGACAAAAAACACCCAAATCCTGGTCAGAAGCTCTAATTACATTGATTCATAAGGAGGATTCAGATCCACAACTAATACAAA